CGTTAGCTCGCTTTTTTTTGTTTTCACGGAACCAGTTTTCCAAATAGATTTTATTGGCTTGGACCATGAAACTTTCGTTTGGCAAAACCAGATAAAATCAAAGTCGACCAGTGCCGAGATTTTAGCAAGGGGAAACGTGTGAACTGTTAGGAAATCCATCGTCAGAGTTTTTCAGGCTAACTTCAAGGCGTGGGCGAACTTTTCGAAGGAGGTTGCATTCACATGAGGTGCCAATATGTCTACTACGAGGTAATCAGTCATATAGTTTCAAAGTTTCAAGTTTTTAGTTTATTGATTCTGTGACATTCACGTTTTGATTGTCTGAATTTAAAAATTGGTTTTGGACGACTGGTTCAGCATTGTGTGAACATTTGATTACTCAAACAAGAGGAAGTCTTGTGAAGTCATATTTAATAGATTGACATTGACAAATAGCTGCCATTGGTGCATAAAAACTTGTCAACATTCACCCTTTCGACTTTACAATTTTAGACCCAGCGCTGTAATGTGGTCTGTACCGTGACGAGGGAAACCCCTAGAAAACCCAAAGTCAAACAGCAAAGATCTGGATCAGTTCGCCGCAAAGCCATCATTTCTAGAAACATCCAAAGAAAAAAAATACTAGAAACGGCAGCTACAGCCAGCAAACGAGTTGGCACAGTGGCTCTGCACGTTACATTGCAACGCTCACGAGATCGATTCCTGTGTGGAAGTATGGATGCAAAGCTATCTTGTTGGCCCAATACAGACAGCTAAGCACTTTTCCAGTCCGTCATGCACTCAGAAGAGAGTCTTTAATACAAATTTAAAATGGTATATTATACAAAAACCCCAGTTTTACTAAGTAGTGTTGGTTCCCAGAGCGAAGTGGTCTTCGGTAGTTGGACATAGGTTATGTGACGTGCTTTTAAACGCTAATCTCAAATCTGCTTACAAAATCTGCACAGCCTGAACGGCGCTATGAAGGTTTGTTAGGAAGAAAGGACACCCGGTCACACCCTTCGACCTAGGGACCATCCTTGTAGGTTATCATTTTAGTGTGCGGAGGTAATGTAGTGGCAAGTGACACGTTTACCACGCGTGCACTTACAAGATTAAATTGCGGGTCAGATCCCGCTCAAAACAGCCAAGCCTTCCCCAGGGACCGTAAACGTAAATTGGTACTAGATTCGTCTGCGAGATAAATAACTGAAGTGTACACTGGTTCCCCACCCCCCCCCCCCCCTCTCCCCAAGTCATTGCATAGGCCAAACTGTATCCGATGATCCACTACGATTCCGGACAGAAGCAGAAGGTGCGCCGCACCTTCTGCTTCAAAGGGTTATTGATCAAGGGCAAGGCTTTACACTTCTATCAAACTGGTAGAGAGAGATTCTCTAGCCGTGCTCATTACATGCGGTGCTAATAAACGCAGCGCAAAGGGATAAAGCGTTCGGTAGCTCTGACTCAGAGTCTAACCCCTAACCCACTGAAGCGGTGGCGCCCCATTTCCAGATAAATGGGCGCCTTTGAATGTTTTTGTGTACCATTAACAGAGGCCGCTTTGTGCAAAAGCTTACTGAGCCACTGGAATTCAGGAGACGCTGTTCGGAATCAAGCGAACCATTCTATTATCTTAAAGACAGCCCCCGCGATCAAAGTGGCTCGGTGGTCGCTTTTGGTCTGTAAGTAGTGCTAGCCTCCAAAGCTAGAAGGACTGCTCTCCTTCGCGGACTCCAATTGTGACGGTGGAGGCTGCATAGCCGCTCAAAGTGCTAGTTCTAACTCCTCCTCAGTCGGACCGCCTTTACTTGCTAGATGTCCTCCGACGGAGGCCACTCACTTGTTCTTAGTTGGGGCGGCGGGCATTGCTAATGCCCCTGGATAATTCTGCTCTCCTTCATTACAGTTTACTCATTGGAGGTATATACATTCAATTAATCCATTTCGCGAGGTGTGAACGCGTAAAAAAACACGAGTGACGCAATTTTCGTGATGCAAAACCACGACGCACAAAAGGTGCGCTACCGTAATCACAAATTCAGACACCGTGTTGATAAAATTCCTTTCCTTCCCAGAGTTTTTCCTCTGCGTTTTTGTTGTTTTCTTTTTGTATTCTTTCTTTTGCACTGGATGATATCAACTACTGCGAGATGTGATAGAGAGATTTGTGAGCTAGGGGCTGCACAGAGACCGCAGGGAGGGTGTAATGTGTGAGGGCGATTTTGTTTATGTTGTTCTGGAGAACGCTTCTTGCCACTTTTCTTCTTTGGGAGATTACTTATCGGCTGCTGTTTCATAATTGGGAAGCAGCTATCCATGAGACTTTTATCGCGGGAGCTGTCTTTAACTAATTGGAAAAATTTACTCTCCAAAACTCGGGCTAACCGCCTGGTGCCAATCACGTTTCAGTCCTGGCGGCGGTCGGTACACACAGTCTGTGCGTTCAATAGTTTGCATTGAAAAAAAACAAAAACAAAAAAAAAAATAAAGTTTTTACATTCATTTGTCGCAGGGTCTGCTGGTTGTCCGTCCTTCTCATCTCTCTCTCGAGATATGATTTCCCCTTCCTGACTTCATACTAAAATTTCCCTTGCCTTGGCTGAACGTGCGAAATACCGTTTTCGCTCTGGTGATGTGTCGATGAGATTTTACACATCATGTATGCTAACAAGCAAACTCGTGAAGTGTACGGCGCAAGGTATAGGTTGATCGGAACAAAAACGTGTGGTTCAGTTAAGTTTAGATGTATTTCGTCATAATAGGGTGAAGTCAATAGAAAATGGCCGTCATTACGGGATACACCGTACTGGTCGCTGGGAGAGGAAGGTTGTATTGGGGCTGGGAAATTTTTTTTGATAGTTGTTTTTTCTCGTGCCAGAAACGTTTCAAAGGTGGGGTGGGAGGGGTTGTAAGAACTGAACAGTGCAACTTCAACAAGTCTGAGAGTAGACCATGGATCTTTTTGAACCCTATGAAAACATCTGCTTGCGTGTACAAGGATCGCGTAGAAACTGCTCCATTTCACCACCTTCGCGTACTACCAATGCATAGCATATCCAGTTATGAATCTTATGGGCGTTGAACCATCAAAGCCTTGTTCTGTTTCACGAAGGGATTTGCTGTTGACACTGTCATGCCTTCCCTTATATAAAGCAGAAGTTGTGTGTAAGAGTGTGTATGCGTGTTCACCCGAAAATTGGGGACTGTGTGGAAAATCGCTTTTGAAAACGGATCAAGCTTGGGATGGCTGTGGCACGGGTCAACATTTACAGAACACCTACAAGGTAACCTAGGCTCCGACAATGGGCGGGCGTAGGCAGAAGTGACGGTGGTCGATGGATCAAAATTTTCAGAACGCATCATGAGCAACCCGAAGGATGGGTAATATGCTTGAAGGGCGACAGCGGGAAGCCAGATGGAGCAAGGGAGAGATACCCTAGCAAAAGTAAGGAGCAAAAGTTATATGGTTATATACCAAATGTGAAAGGGTAATGTTCTGGAGTTCCAAAAAAATTAGAGAATTTTTCCGCGTCTTCGACCTGCTTTCAATTCTGCAAACAGTCGTGTTAGAAACAATTCACAGTCGCTTGATCCAGAAAAAAAACTCGCATCTAATTCCGAAAACCCCCAGCGAATTCACGACGCTGAAGAATATCTCCAAACTAGGCAATTTTTGTGAAATCAGACGTGCTCTTTAGTAGTTTTTAGGAAGCACGAATCTCACTCTTCACAATCACCTTGTTCTTTCCCCAGCGGTTTACCTTCAAAGGAATTATAGCTCCTAAAAGCTTTGGAAAAAAAAGCCGCTTCGCTCAAGCAGTCTTGGCATGCGCGTCCCAACGCAATTAAAGGACGAAGGCGCGCTTATTCAGTATTTGTATGGCTTGCCGGCCACTTCAACTTCCCCCCCCCCCTACGCGCCCAATTTGGAACACCTCAGGTGTGCCGTTGGAGACGCAACATCCCGTGCAATGTTGATCCGCACAATTTCACTCACTCACTCACACACTCTCCGCTCTTCCTCTCTCTCTCTTTCCCACTCTCTCTCTCTCTCTCTCTTTCTCTCTCTCTGCTACTGGTGCCTGAAAGAGGGTCTGAAAAGAATTCCCAACTAGCTCAGTTGACACAGCAATGTTAGAAAATAATAAGTAATCGTCATTTCCATATGTTCTTAAGTCTGCTTCGTAAGTTTTCCTGGAACCCTTCCTGTGAACCTTTCAAGAGTTACGACTTGTATTCGTACAGAGTTTCTTTGGGAGACGGGCACGAGGATCGTAAATTGTCCCTTCGTTGTGCGCGGCAATGGGAGCGACGTTTCCTTAATTCGCGCTACTCTTTCGATTGGATTTCATGTAGACAAGGACATGGTAGAAACTTTGGTCTATTTTTCATCACACATTGTCCATTCTCGACCAGTACCACCTAAAGTCGTCGTCATTAGCAGGTGCGACGTCGCACGCGACGCCCACTGGCACGGCGACTTACAATTCTCTTAGCACATACCCATTTTCTCTAGTCGTGTGGCGTTCAGTGCTAGATGGTGCTAAGAAGCTAGGGGAAATTCCTAGCTTATTATTAGCTTTTCTTCCAACGTACGCCTCAGGAATAAAAAAGAAATATGTAAAAAGGCGGAAAGACAACAAACGCTAGGGGAAGGAGAGAGTCGTACCGACCCCCAATTTGAGAGGGTGAAAGGGGGGGGGGGGGGGGGTCGCACAGACTCGACCAAAAGCCCAAACGCATGATGTGCCTGAGCGGCGTATGTGGACAACACACAGGTACCATTACCGTATAGCCCTGTTCCCGTGCACTTCTGAGCGGAGGAACTGGCACCCTACTGCAACACCAGGTTACTCGGCTCGCACATGGCAAGGACGTGTACTGTACTCTTTGTCTTCAGAATGTCTTCAATTCATACTGAGAAATCCGATAGAATATATTTATTCAAGCGAAGAACATTATGAAACGTGCCTTATAATATGATATTTACAGCGATTATTACAAAACCTCAGCAATTCTTACTTGCCAGCGTTATGAATTTGATCGTATTTGCACTTGCGCGAGGCCTGAACACTTGCACACTATTAATTTTGAATGGTTTTATGAAAAGGAAAGAAATTTTCGAATTAAGAAATTGCTGCAGAATACTGTGGAATACTGTACGAACCTGATAAAGAAGTGCAACAATAAGCGCGACAGCAAGCAGCATACAAATTCCCAATAACAACCATGTCGCTGTTTGCCATGATGATGTACCAGTTATACTGTAATCAACCTATTGAGTGCGATATTCAACAGCTAACTTCTAAAGCTTCAACATTATTTTGTTGAAGTGAAGATGGAGCCTCTTCTGGACAGCTAAATAAAAACTCTTCAGGATGAACTGTGACACTCTCAAAAGCAATCCCTGAAATCTGAGTAGGCGGAGTTCCACGATTGCCAGTGGTTGTAAATCTGAACCAATTTCCCGCAGCTCTGCCCTTTATTTCAAAAATACATGTAAAGCCTGGAATCAGATCTTTAGGCCTTAGAAGTTGATTTGGAACCAACCTTCAAGGACCAGCAACAACCAAATGCAGTCAACCACGCCACCTGCTCGAGTGAAAATATACTCTTTATCCCTGAGACGGGGTAGGCGTGGCATTCGAACATGGCACGGAACTGGTTACTCGTGGGATATTTAAATTTCAGACAACCGCCATCTTGTTCTTTGTTGGAAAAAGACGTGACCACATTTGGGTCAAAATGAAAATGTCTTTCCAAGAGCACAGCCACCACGACGTTTAGTTGAAGTACGCAGCCACGCCTACCTCATCTCAGGGATTTCGAGTGTATTTCCAGCCGAGGTTCTGTCGAAAACTTTAGGCCGGCTAAGAACTGTGACACCATTCTTGCCAGAGATCACTCGTTCAGATATGAACACCTTTATTGCCAGTTTAAGTAAGTCTCCCTGGTCAAAGGTATGCCATGAAAATGTTGTTGTAAGAAATAAAAAAGTAAAAAAAATCACTCGTTAAGGAACTGGCTCTTCTTCGATGCTTCCGCCAAAATAGGCTTCTTGCCGCTCAATATATTGTGGAGACGCTCCTGAAAGAAAACTTCTAGAAGGGAAGAGTTCATATGCAACTTTTGTGACAAAAGAGGTGCTAATGGAGCAGAGAAAAAGACAAAAACGAAATGCCAAGAATAAAGTGAGCCGAAGAACGAGGCGAAATTACTGTACTATTCCGGTTCCTATTTACTATTTACTTGTATCTACTATTCCGGTTAGTCTACGGCGGTGGGCGAGTTATCCACCATGTCATTACCAGCACTAACCAGTTTGTACTACAGCGTAGGTCAAGGAAGATTCTGCAGCAGAAGAGTCGCTGCTTCCGTATCCTGTGCGCGTGGCACTGCTCGTGTGACGCGCATTTCTCCATTTTGACTCCATCGCTTAGAACAGCGCGCTTTGCGCGCCCGCTCGAAAGCCTAGAGGGAAAGGTTCCTGCCCAACGGCCTAGGTTGAAGTAGTAGCGATATTGACTGCGAAATCACTATTGTGTGATCACTGGGAATTACTTGGAGGCGGAGCAGAAGTTTATGGAAAAGTCGACGCACTGTTAGGCCTTGAGTGGCATTGAAGGCATTGGCACGATAAATCCCTAAAGACGAGTAGGATCAATATGCCTGGCAGGACGGATTCCTGCGCCCCTGAGAAGGCACTGCGCAGCACCCTTCCCAGGAAGGTACCCTTATAAGGGCCCTATCAAGCCACAACATACCGACCCGAACGCCCACCACGCCCGCCCGCCCACAAATGGACGACCGTTCCTGACGCTCGTATTCATTCATTTGCTAAGCAAATTATGAAGCGAAGGGATTGGTATGAAGCGGCCGTGATGATATATGAGTACACATATGCAGCCGTATCTTCGGTAGCGGTTATTGGCAAGATGCCTACGGGAAACTCGTCCGAAATCGATTTTCAAGTCACTGAGAACGGAAGGCTTTTCTTCGCAGGATTTTGACCGTTTCACTCCGTTCTTTCGCCATTTCCCCACTATATAGCGCCCTGCTAGCTTTGAATGCGCGTTCAGTGCGAAACAACTCATGTCATGATTGCATGACGTGTTTCGTACTGATGTACGTTGATGCGACCCAAATCCTTGTCGCTATATACCTTAGCGTGTGCTCTTGGCCGCATCATCGCACCCACTTCTTTTAACCATGTAGGTCAATAAAGTTGTTTTCTTTGTATTACTTATTAACGTGCTTTAGGAAACAGTCGTTCACTGCGGATAAAGGGGACTGTCAGAAGGGACGGGTTTTGCCCGGCGCCGAACGCGTTTTCAGCAGTGGTTGAGGCAGAAAGCGACATGACTGTCTATCTTATCGTACATATCAACCAATTTCCACCAACTGTTGTTGCTTGCCCGCTTCAACAAGTGGTGGGATCACGCTGACCCAAACCCAGCCTCATTGACACGCCCACTCGAGACGTAACTCTGAGAACATGTTCCGCGAATACCCAGTGTGCAGATTCTCTTTTTTGTATGCGCAGCTACCTTGGAATTCATAATTTGCTCAAAAAGTTTACAGATTGGGTCGCAGAATGTATCTTCAGAGTTTCCTGGGTAGGCTGGAAAAAAATCACATAGAAGAGTCGAGGAAAAATCTTTGAGTACTGTGGGATGGGGATACTCATAATAATTCACTGATTCACGGCAAGCTCCCTTCATTAAAGAAAAACTCATCGGAATTGTTCTTCTTCTAAGGTGCACACTAGGAAGTTACAGTCTTGTTCGCTCCTTATGAAGGGGCGTGTCAACAAGTCTAGGTTGGGCGGGGAGCCAGCCTATTCTCCACCAGATTTCGAAGCGGTCAAGTGACTATAGTCGATGAAAATCGACTGATGCAAATGTTATGGTACA